TCTCTTTCTTTAATGCTCTCAATCTCTCCATCTCTCCTCCTCTCCCCCTCCCTCTCCCTCTCTCTCTCCACAGCCGTATCCCCTCTCCCAATCTCTGGCCCTGCATCCTTATGTTTGCTCCTGTTGGCTCCAGGGCACTGTGGTTTCAGGCACAGGTTCAGGACTCCTGCTCTTTAGAGTCACATCCCGGCTCTGCCATGTGCCAACTGCAGCAATTGAGCCAAAGCCACCCACCCTCGCTGTCCATTCTCCTCTTGACTTGTTGAGAGCCTCCTCCCTGAGGTTGCTGTCAGAACCTGGAGAGATACATGCAGTGAGGTATCTGACACCCAATAAATGGTAGCTGTTGTCATTATTACTATTATTACTAATAAAAGGTAACCCACAACCAGCTTCTCTGTAGCCAACAAATAGATACTTATCTGGTGTGTGGCATGCATGGGGAAAATACTCCTACAAACAAAATTGGGGCCACTCCCTGACCTCGGTTTCTGGCCAAGATCAACCACCCCAAGAGCAAGGTCACCGGGTGGAGGAGGTACCAGCTTTCTGAGCCACACCCAACAACACTTGTCCTTAGTCATGACCTCTCTGCAATCCTGAGCCAACTCTGCATTTCAGGGGGGTACACAATCGAGAATCAGCCACAGTCTGGTTAGATTAAGTGTTGATTTAACAAGTCAGGGTATAAAATAGTATAAGAAAGTGGCTACAGGGTGTGGCACCACACGACACACACAGTATCCCCACCCCACAAGGACGCAGTCTTTGCAAGGTGTGGCTTGACAATTTTACAAGCTTATTTTTTCACTCCCTTCAGATTTTAGAGGCAGAGGTTGAATGTCATACACATCATCACTGGTTAATACAGAATCCTTCTTTTCTTTAGCCTCCCTTCCTTCCTTCTCTTCCCTCTTTCTTTCTTCCCACCCTCCCTCAGTCTCACAAAATGTGCAGCGTTGTTCTTATGAGCCTGCGACTTTAACGAACATAATTGGCGTTGGATTATGTATCTGCTATTCTAAGTCACTTTTCAGACAGCACTGTGTTTTTTTTTTTGTTTTTTTTAAAGATTTTTATTGGGGAATTGGGGGATGGGAACAGCGCTGGGGAATTGGGGGAAGGGGAACAGACAAGTTGCTGTCCTTTTGTTCTTCAGTCTAGTTGTGGAGGACGTTGCTTCACTGGCCCAAGTTGGCACCATCATTGTGCTCTTCTCGAGTGAGGCAGATCAGTTGCCGGCTTCTGGACGGCCGCTCACTGTGGCTGCTGGCCGCTCACGCTGGCTGCTGGCTACACACGGTAGCCCATGGCAACCCACTGCAGCAGGGGCTGCAGCCTACGCCGTCGCCGGCGACTCACGGCAGCCCAGCTCCAGGTTGAGCTGTTGTTCAGCATCTTAGCTGCAGAGGGCAGTGTCACTGGCCCTCATATGTGGGATCCGAACCAGGGCCCTCTGGAGTCCCAAGCCAGTTCTTAACCATCGCGCCACTCGGCCGGCCCAGCACTGTGTTTTTAAGACCCGCCCTGTTGCAATGTTCATGCACCTGCCCCGTTGTATCCAGCTCCATGGTGGCACCCACACATTTACCCAACAACCCTCCCAGGTATGGCGACTCGATGGCTGCCAGCTCCGGGACACCACAAGGGACAGTGTAAGGCACATCCTCATACGTGTCCCCTTGTGGGTGTGTAAGAATTTCTTTGGGATGTAGAGTCAGGAGAGAAATTGCTGAGTCATAGGGTGTGTGTATATTTCATTTGATGAAATAGTGGCAGATCGTCCCTCAGAACTGGAGGCACCACACTCCCTTGAGTGGCACCTAAACATCCTAATGTTTGTGTGGCCCTGACCACACTTGACACTATCCAACCTTCCAATTATTTCCAGCCTAACTGGTGCAAAGTGATATCTCCTTGCTGTTTCAATTTACATTTCTTTGATAACTAATGAGTTTGAATAGCCCCTCATATGCATGTTAGCTTTTGGAATTCTCCTTCTGCAAATTCTTCATATCCTCTACCCATTTTTCCATAAAGGTGTCTCTCTTTTTTATTAATTCACAGGTGCTTCTTGCATCTTATACGTTTTAGTCCCTTGTGCATTTTGGATTTTACAAATAACTTCTCCCATACTGACAAATGCCTATTAATGGTCCATCTTACCCTCCTTTAAACCCAAACTTTAAATCTTGATATAATCAAACTAATCAATGTTTTGTCCTATGATTTGTGCTTTTGAAGTCTTAAGAAGTCATCCCCTGTCTCAGAGATTCAAAGATATGTTCCTAGGTTTTCTTCTGTTAGCTTTATAATGTATCTTTCACATATTGGCCTTTAATGCTTCTGGAGTCTACCTTCCTGTGTGGTGTTAGATAAGAATCTAGGTTTATTTTTCTCCACACAGTGGGCCAGTTTTCCCTACACCATTTACTAAGCATACTGTCTTTCCCCTATTAATTTGGGTTGCTATTTTATCATATTTTATATAGATCATATAATGTACTGAGTTCTCACAGGTCTCTTTCTGAACTCTTTCTTCTGTGTCACTGATCCATTTGTGTGTTCTTGCATTAACACCACATTCATTTTTCATACATTAATTTTGTTGTATAGTATGTCTTAATATCTAGTAGGGTGAGAAGCTTATTTCTTGCACCACCACAGCCCTATTCTCCTCACCACTTACATCACCATGCAGGAAACACACGTATCCTCTCTACCCTCGATGGAAACTATTTACAGACATCTGTGCCCTCGTGGCTTTAAAGGCGGCTTCCATTGTGGAAAAGACACAGACAGGAAGAGAAAGTCAGACTTACTCAGGAAAATTTGCACAATGTCTTAGCTTAGCTTTTAGCTCCTAGAAACTTCATTTCCCCCATCATCGTCTCTGTGTCAGCATACTGAAAACCAACTACAGTAGCCCAGACACGTGCGGTTTTGTTCTCTCTGTTTCAAGCTCAGATAGTGGAAGTCCATTCCTAGAGCACATGCTTAATCAAGTCACCAAGAGTGCACGTTTCTTCTTGCGTCTTCTGGTCTCATCTTTAACCTGTGAGTTTTAGCCTCAGGATATAAAGTGGCTGATTCACTTCTGGGCACTCACATTCCAGGTGAGAAGAACCTGGAAGGTTCAAACATATGCCCTTCTTTTTATCAGCAAAACAAAAACTTCCCAGGGAAACCCAGCCCCTAGGTTTCAGCTTATATCTTACTGCTTAGAACCGGATCACGTGGCTGCCCAGATGGAGGGTGAACACCTTTATTCAGGTCACGTGCGATCCTGAGCAATAGTTGGGCTCGGATGGCAGTGCAGTGCAGAAAATGATGACTACATCTCAATTTTGCCCAACTTGCCCTGTGCTGAGTGAGACTCGTTCACAATACACCAACCTCAGCCTGCTGCCCCACATAGTTCCCATCTACCTCCTGCTCACCCTTGAGCTTAAACTTAACCCAGGATGCATCTGGGCTCCGTCATCAGGAGCGAGACGTATAGGGGACTCACGCTCACTGCCTCACCCACACTTTTTATCATAATTTTAGCAAATGTTATGTGCGCACATTACCTTTAAAACAGTTGAAAGAACTAGAAACTATGCAAATGCCCATTCACAGCAAAAATGGGTAAATAAATTAGAGTATGTTTACACAATAGTGTACTGTGCAACAATGAGAATGAGACGTTTACAGCTATAGACAAAAATCTAGATGTTGAGCAAAACAAGCCAAGTGCCAGATAATGTGCTGTGGGGTTTCATTTACACAAATGTATTATATTCCTATAAACCGATCTAGACAAATTTGTATTTCTTTATACAAAGCATAACTAAACTGGTTTTGTTGGCTCAGGGAATTTTCAAGGCTGGTCTCTGTGTTTGATTTTGACAGGTACCTGGGATCCGCCCAGCCCATCCCCGCCCCAGAGTCTTTGCATTCATCCTTCTCTCTGCCTGGAATGCCAGGACCTCCAGGTAGTCATGGGGCTCACCACTTTTCATCCCATAGGTCTCAGCCCAAATGCCACCTCCTCAGAGATTTATTAGTTTCCTATTGTATTAGGGTCCTCTGGCTGCTGTGACAAATTACCACAAACTTAGAGGCTTAAGACAACACAAGTTTATTCTCTTACAGCTCTGGAGACCAGAAGTCCAAAATGGGTTTCAAGGGAGTTACAATCAAGGCATTAGCAGGCAGGGCTGTCTCCTTCTGGAAGCTCCCAGGGAGAATCCATTTCTGTGCTCTTTCCAGCTCCCACAGGTCGCCTTCATTTCTAGGCTCACGGCCCCTTCCCTCATCTTCAAAACCAGTGGTTTATCCAATCTCTCTCTCTCGTCCTGAGCCCCCTGCCTCCCTCTTATGAGGATCCCTAGGATTACAATGGCCCAACCCAGATAATGCAAAATAATCCCCCCATCTCAAGATCCTTAATTGAATCACGCCTGCAAACTCCCTTTGGTCACATGTGAGGTCATATACTCACAGGTTCCAGGGATTAGGATGTGAACATCTTTTTGTTGTTGTTGTTTGGTGTGTGTGTGGGGAGGCCTGTTATACTGCCCTCCACAGCCTCCATGACCATTTAATAGAAACAGCCCCCTTCTCCCCACATTCCTTCTCTTTCCCCATGCCCCATATTCATATCATTTACATACTTAGCACAGCCCATAATGTTTTAATATTTGTTTATGGCTTTATGGTCTGTCTTCTCTGACTAGAACGCGAGCCCTACTAAGGCAGGGGTTTTTGTCCTGTTTTGCCCATTGCAGTGTCCCCAGCCCCTGGAACCGTTCCTGGCACAGACTAGCCAGCCACTCGATTCATATTTGTGAAGAAAGTGAAAAGCAGCTTGAGTGGACCTGTTTCTCGTAACTGAAATAACCTAAAGCAAACACGATAGTGCAGAGGGGACAAGTGGCATTCCCGGCTGCCTGGCTATCCAGCGACTGGGGCAGGGAGGAGACCACACACGAAGACCACTTCTCCTTGGACGCTTTATTTCTGGCTATCCTGGGAAGTGTCCCCAAGATCCAGCTGGAGATACGCGGTCAGGGAAAGGGGGCCCTGATTCCAGAGGACTCGGGGGGGCTGGAGGTTAAACACCTCAAAATCCTTGGGAAGGAATGGGGGTCTGGAAGGAGTGTCAGGTCCCTGCAGGGCTGGGGACTTGCAGGGGGCGGGGGGGACACTAGAATGCTGGGCCCTGGAATGACTCATGAGTTGGACCGGATGGTGTCATGGATCCACTTGGTGAACCGGCAGAGTTTGGTGTAGACGCCGGGTCTGTTGGGCTGAGCACAGGGAAAATCCCCCCAGGACACGAGGCCCTGTAGGTTGCCGTTGCAGACCACGGGGCCCCCAGAGTCACCCTGTGGGGTAGAAAGAAAGGCGCACAGAGAGGCAGAGATCAGAGATGTGGGGAGGTGGAAGAGGGTGACACACAGATGAAGAAGGACCAGAACAGCAAGACAGAGACACAGAGGTGGACAAAGTAGAGATGAAGAGACAGAGGGCGGTAGTCAGGGGGGAGAGAGAGAGAGAGAGAGAGAGAGAGAGAGAGAGAGAGAGAGAATATTAACTTTTCACTCCATGTCCAACTTTTAGAAACCCCATTTGTCCCTTGCTACCCAACCCCAACCTCTTCTCTGTCTCCCTCATTGCATGTCTCTCTCTATTTATCGCTCTCACTCTCCCCTCCAGCCTTTGACTGCCATATTTCTCCTACTGGACCCTCTTGCCTTTCCCTTCCTCACTCTTCATCCATCCTTTCATCCATCCGTCTTGTACTTAGACCTCACTTCTGCCAAGAGGCGGTTCTCAATCTGGGCACCTTCGACATGGAGCCGGATAATTCTTTGCTGTGAGAGGCTGCCTGTGCATTTAGGATGTTTAGCAGCATCACTGGCATCTACACACCAGGTACCAGTAACTGCCCTCCTTTCTCTCCAATTCCCAAGCCCCGCATAGTTGTGACAAACAAAAATATCTCTAGGCACTGCCATATGTCCCCTGGGGGGGGGGTGCAGAGTTACCCCCAGTTAAGTGCTCTGAATGAAAAGTGAGCTACCTGGCAGGCCTGAGAAGGTCAATGACTGAAAATAACCACATAGGCTGTTCTGGTCATAAACAATCCCTATCCGAGCGGGTCATTGCGGAAAGTCACGTCCTGAGTTCTGTATGGTGGGTGAACTTTTACCCTGAGGGAGTCTTGTCCATTGTCTCTGTGCGTCTGGAAGAACATACTTCAAATGTCAGAATGATCACTTCTCCAGTCCTGGAGATAAACCCCTGGTACCTTGAGGAGATGACCCCAACATTCCTCACTGGTATCTTTTATCGCATACCTCACAAATATTTAGGTGAGATGTTGACTATCCTGCATCCACCGTGTAAAAGAAACAAGTGACTCTCCATTTTACTCTGTATCCAATTCTAGAGATTTCCCCTTTGCTGGCTTCTGCCTCCTTAATCTACCACTCTTGGGTTTCATGGAACCTTCCTTATGTTTTCTCCTTTGATGCTAAATATATGAAATCAACTGCAAAACTGCCATTTCCTGGAGCATTTCCCATCTGGCCCTCAGCCTTGGCTCATATAAACTCTTTAAATCTCTCGTGAGGTTTGGAACTCCTTCTGTGGACAGAACTACTCCTCTGGACTAATTTGGGTTGTCGATCCTTAATTCCCCATAGCTCCCTGTAATTACCCTCCTATACTAATGTCATTTATTACTTATTTACTGTCATTTCTTACTTATGTTTAAGCAAAATGTGAAAGACTACCCAGAGTCCTGGTATCCATTCTAAGGAATAGACCGGATTTCTTTCCCCATTAGCAGACACTGTTTCAAGGCAAAAGCGATTGGCCGCCCAGACCTCGCAATTCCAACTTTCTTGTGGCTTAATTTTTCTCATGATTTTTTTTTTTTAACAACCCTGCAGAATTCCTTTGGAGAGCCAGCTAATGAATTACTCTGAGCCTTGGTTCCTTGTCTGTAAAATGGAGCTAATAATAGCAACACTTAAATGAGTTAATCAGCTGATGTATGAGAACTACTTAAAACAGTGTCCAGCAATTAGCTGCTATCATTATTATACTATTCATGTTAATATTGTTGTTGTTATTCTTTCTTGGTTTTAGTGGCCACGCCCAGACCACAGGCTGGTTTGAAAAAGCAACTTGAAGTCTGCAAAAAACTAAAACAACAGCCAAGACACAAGATACTATGCTTGGCTACAGAAAGGCTAAATGGTTTAAAATGCCAGCATTCAAATTAGGTGTGCTTCCATTTCTTCTGATAAAAAGCCCCTCCCCACTCCTCCATCCTGATGTGTGTGCTTCCACTGTTAAGTGGGGACAGAGTTGAAACTGGGAGACCTGGGAAGCTGTTGCAGTTGTCAAGTTCGTAAAATTTGGGGGGAGAGGGGAGCATTTCACAGCCACCAGAATGGGACTAGAGTGCTATCTAAGCCCACAGCTTGCTAAACGCTGATATTACTCATCTGTTCATCCTGCCAGCAGAGAGCTCATTAATTTACATTGCACTAGAACTCTTGGAGGCTTGAATACAGGGAAAGGGTCCTGATTGCTTTAACAGTTTAATTTTAATTTCTGCCACCCTCAATAGATATAACTTCCATTAGAACACAGAGAAGCTCTACATTGGGGATCAAGAGCTATTATTGAACACTGGCCCCTACCCATCTCTCTAGCCTCAACTTCTACTGGCTCCCACCCCTCCAAACACTAACTCCAGACACACTGTCTTCTTTCTGTTCTTTGAATCAGCCAAACTCTTTCCTGCCTCAGGGCCTTTGCACATGCTTTTCCTAACCTTTAATCTTTGAAAGACTGGCTTCTTTGTGTCATTCAGTCTCTGCTCAAATACCACATCTTTCAGGAGACCCTCCCAACCACCATTTTGAATATTTGCCTCCCATCACTTGCCATCATAAAGCTATGTTCTACTTTCTGCAAAGCCCTTACCACTCTCTGAAATTACCCTATTCATGCAGTTT